GTTTACTTTGCTGACCTGGTCAGCAAAAGTACTCAGTATTGTTTTACGGATAAAAATAACAGCAATGCTAGGTATCATGAAAAGTCTTTCATGAAAATAGTCATGAAAGATTTGTGACCTTTGGATTACACGTACAATAAAGCACCACACACTAATCAAGGTAATTTAAAGATCACAAATTTTTCATGATCAATTTCATGACAAAATTTTCATGATCTCTAACATTTCTCTAGAAATAATCCTGTGGGTTTAATGCTTCTGAGTGAAGTTGCCTTGGGAGAGGTTTATGAACTCAAGACGGCCACGGTGAGTTCACATACTATGTTGTGCATGTATTTTGCCATGCAAATATATGCACTTAGCATAGACTTGTGTAATGTATTCAATTCCGTTAGACATACCTACACTCATTCACATGCTTTTAGGATCTCTTTAATTATCACTCATGGGTGCATTATTTTTTCAAGTTTATATTTTCTAATTCTGGCGATGGATTTTATGCACTGAACATGCTTCCATCAAGCTATTCAGGAACTGCATTAAACTTGACTTTTCTTTTTTTCTCTTTTTCCTACATGTATTTCTTTCTTCTCTTTCTGTTGTGTGTGTGTGTAACCTTCTTTAAAATTAACTCATGTACATATTTATCAACCAAAAAAAAAAAAAAACTCATGTACATTTACTGAAATTTAGGCCAAGTTTGGCATGATCTAAATAATACAAAAAGTCAAAAAGTCATTATTTTATTTAAATCACATCATCTTATTTAAATCACATCACCTCTCTAACACATCACATCAAATCCAACCAAAACCCAATTCATATAAGCCAATAAGTCAAAAAGTATACTTTTTTAGAACATCCCAAACCAACCCTTAGTATATGGAGAAACCTCCAAAAGGAAAGCACTCTACTAAAGGCCTTGGCAAGAAGATACCTCAGGAATCAGAATATGTTAAGTGGAAGGATGAAGTTGTTGTGCTTTGCGGCAGACCAGTGACATCAAATTTGATGGCATCGGAGTTGATGTATAATGAGTATATCGTCTATAATACAGCTCAAGTACGTTTTCACCTGCATTTTGTTGAGCTTATACTATGGGAGTGTTCGTTTGGGTTTTTTTAAGTCAACTTCAAACTTCTAGTTTTGGAAAAGTTATTTTAGATTGTTTGGTTAAACTTATTTCAAACAGCTTCTGATTTTAATAACTTATTTTAACTCAAAAAAACTGATTCTGAGAAACTGCTCACCCCCTGCTTCTGATTATCAGCTTCTGCTGTGGATATGTTAATTTACGATTATATTCTTAGATTTTTTTATTTTTTATTTTTTAAAAAATAGAAAAAGTTCCAAATGGACTATAGATTATTATTATTTTTTTTTATGAGAAATGTAGACAATGAGTGAATAACAAAAAATAAAAGTTAATTGAAAAATCTATTGCACAGTTTATTTAACAAATACTACTCAGCAGCTTAAATCTATGATCCAACTGTTACACTAAACAGATTAACAGTTTCTGATTAAAGTCATAATGTATAATCTGTTAAGTTATAATCTATAATCTATTTTAACAGCTAAACCAAACAGGGCCTATGTCATTCTTGTGTAGCAAGTTGTAAAAAATTTGTAAATGTCCAAATTTTGTTACTCTAGATTTAGTTGAATAGCATATGAGAGGATTAGGAGAGTGATAATTACAGACATGTACAATGAAACCGTGACTAGGGTGAGAACAATAGAGTAGAGGGAGAAACAAGTAAATTTCTAATGACAGTGTGTGCTCACATTTTTTTTTTTTGGGATTAGAACAGTGTGTTCACATTATCGACAGTAACTCTTATGAGTCTTTTAGTTTTAGTGTATACTATTTGCAGACGATATAGTTTTAGTTGACAAAACAAGAGTAGTAAACTTGAAGCTAAATTGTGGACAGATATTTTAAAATCTAAAGGGTTTTTGTTAAGTAAGATTAAGACAATATATGTAGGTAGAGTAAAAGTTGATACCTAAGACTAAGAGTGATCATTTTCAATACCTTGAGACAATTATTCATTAGGATGGGGAGATTGAAGGGGATGCGACCCAAAGAATTAGAGTGGAATAGATTAAACGAGTATGTATTCACTGCAACAAAATGTATCTTTGGCGATTTAAAAAAATTTCGTCGTCAAAAGTTGTGGAATTGATGACCAAAAAAATTTTTAGTCGGCAGAAATATAATATTTAGCTACTAATTTTTTTTAATTAGAGTATATTGATTATTGGTGACTAAAACAAAATTTAGTCGCTAAAAATATCAGAATTGGCGATGAAAAAAATATTTAGTCACTATATATTGAGTTTTGGCCACTAAAACCATTTAGTGGGCGAATATAACATAAAAAATTATTTTTTATATTTGGTGACCAAAAGTTTACTGGCCAAAAATATATTTTTAGCGACAAAAAAATGATTTAGTCGGTGAATATTATTTTTTGATGACCAAAATGTTTTTAGTCACCAAAACTGTTATAATTGGCGACTAAAATTTTGTTTGGTCGGCCTTGATAACAAATTTTTTTGGGGGAAAGTTTTTCAAATTTGGAGGCAATTCACTTATGACTTTCTTTTCATACATATTTGTTTTTATCAATCCGACCAAACCAAACCCAGAAGACTCTTGACTCTTGCTCTCCCTCTCTCAGGGATGACTCACTATCACTTTAGCCCCCATCGCTCACCGTCGATCTTCCACCATCGTTCACCGTCGATCTTCCACCGTCGCACACCGCCACCGCCACCGCCACCGCTCGCCTCGCGGCTCCTCGCATTGCATTCGACATTGAGGTTTTTATCTTCCTCTCTCTATTTCTCTTTCTCTAGCTCTCTCTCTCTCTCGGCTCTGTTTCTCTGTCTCTCTTTCTCTATTTTCCCATTTCACTCTACATCCAAGGTTTGTTTTTTTTATGGTGTAGGGTTCTGATTTATATGAAATCAATGAACCAATGATTGAAGGAACGTGTAATTTCTTAGGGTAATTGTTGTTTTGATTTATGTAATTTCTTAGTGTATGTATTACTGTTGTTTGGTCTATGCTTGTAATTGTTGTTGTTTTTCACCCTCTTGCTCACCATGTGCCTGAAAAATGTTCAAACGAAATTCGTCCATGCTTTTATTTGTTGTTGTCTTCTGACCCTTTTGCTCACCATGTGTTTGACGAAATGTTCAAACGAAACTGGACAATGCTCACGTGTTTGATATGTGAAGCAATCCAACATTGGAGGTTGAAGCTGAAGGAATTTTAATTAGGATGCTCTTCTTTCTCTCTTCAATCCATATTCCTAATACAAATTTAATTAAAGTTGAAGTAAGTCTGTTTGGGAGGCATTAGATGGTAATGTGATGTTTTCCATTACATCTCTTGCCTATACTAATATCAGCTGATACATGCATGAAACAAAGCAATGCCTTCCATGGGAGCATTACTTTAAGATATGCTTGGGTAGTTATCCTTCATTCAATTGATGCATTTAAATTCAGTTTTCAAAATTAAAGAAGGGATAAGAATATGCAATTTTGAATACCCAGCCTCTCATTCTATGCAATTAATTAGTTCATGATTGCCTTGCATAACTGAATGTTTATCTTTATTTTTTTTCCGTTGAAGTTATAAAACAATGTTTTTTTTAACTCTAATGTAGTTAAAAAAATAAAATATTTGTGAAGTAATCTAAAAAGAATTCAATAAATAAAATAAAAAATACGAAAATGTATTGAATTTTTGTATTTAGTAAATTTTTAAAAGAATTTTTAACATTTTTTTTTAAAACTTTCAAAGTGTATCTAAATAAAAATTAAAAGAATTTGATTAAAACATTTTTAAAAAAATACTAAAATCCAAAAAAATAGGAGTTAAAAATTATTTTTGAAAACTCCAAAACCAACAAAGTCTTCTTGTTTCTCCATTCTTCTACAGGTGTGTGTGCATGAGATGGTGGGTTGCTTTGTTTGGATCATATGAAAAGCTGCTCAGCTTGGGGATGGATCAACAATGGGAATGTCACATTATTAAAGGGTCCCAACAAAAAATAAATAAAAGATAAAAACAAACAAAAATAAACCCTTCCCTATTGGTTGGCTTTGATGTTTTGTGATATTTGAATTGCTTTTGGCATTATGAACATTTCTTTTTGAACGTGTAATATAGATATGCTTTCCCACTGGACCTATATATATATACATATTGTTCATCATTAATCCTTCATTTAGTTATTGAACTTCTGTCATGATCTTCAATGGATTCTATGCTATCAGTTTCATAAATACAATGAAGATCTTTGTTTCATAATCAATCATGATGAAATATTTATATTTTAAATTAAAAAATGGGATAGGATAAGTTCTAATTATAGATTATTAATTTTGAATTGAGATGATGTGTTACAACTGAAAAAAATTTCATTTCTACCGTACTATAATTTTCTCTATTTGAAGATGCTCTCAGTGTACAATTGGTTCATTTGCACACTGAATTGACAGGCTCTTATATAGGTTGAGAAAATTCAACAGGATTACAAGGTATAGTTCAAGGCCATTGGGCATCATCTTGAATGCATTATGTATGTGTCTGTGTGGGTTCTGATCCTCAAATGTGGTGTATGACAGAAAATTTGTATTTATTGACAAAAACTGATGTCTTATGATTCTAGCATGTCTTGTTAACAGAAATAAAGGCATATCTCTCTATTGACAACTTTCTTTCTTTTCTTGTGTTTCATAAGATTGGGACAGTTATTGGAAGATGATGCAGAAATAAATAGGTTCTGATGTCACATGAATGGTGACACTCCCAGTTATCATTTTTAGCCAATGTCAATGCTTCAAAAAATGGCAGAGGTTTGTGTTTTTGTGCCATACTGATGTCTGTGTTATATTTGATGATGCTTTTCTTGTTGAATATCACCAATTGTGAAATGTTTGTAACAGTTGATGGAATACTCCTACCTTATGGATTTAGCACACTCCCAGTTATCATTTTTTAGCCAATGTCAATGCTTCAAAAAATGGCAGAGGTTTGTGTTTTTGTGCCATACTGATGTCTGTGTTATATTTGATGATGCTTTTCTTGTTGAATATCACCAATTGTGAAATGTTTGTAACAGTTGATGGAATACTCCTACCTTATGGATTTAGCAGATAAATGTGAGGATCCCTACATGCGATTGATTTATGCTTGTAAGTACCGTTCTGCTCTCTCTGTGTGTGCGAGTGTGAGTGTGCATTTTCTGTTGTGAAACTTATGGTTCTCCATTTCAGCATCCTTCTTTATAACAATCTATTATGCCTGCCGATGAACCTGGAATCCATTTAATCCAATTCTTGGTGAAACTTATGAAATGGTCAATCATGGAGGTGTTAAATTCACTGCAGAACAGGTGAGCTTGACCACATTTTCCACTGGATACATTTTTCTTATTTTCGTTGTTTAAATGCTAGTTTTGGTCATGCTGATTTTGATTATAACTAGGAAGGAATTATTATTTTCTGCCTGACAGCTTGCTTGGGCCAGAAATTAAGCCAGCTGATACCATGAGTAGGGCAAGTGGCTTGGATAACTTCGGCGTTGTTGGTCTTCAAAGACAAATAATGAAAGGCAAGTTGTTGTAACTTCTTTAGAAATATTTTTTTTTTTAATATTTTATTTGGCTTCTATATCATGGATTCTTATGCCTTGGAAGCAGAACAAGATGAGGGCTTTGAGAAATTGGAGGAGACGGTGATAAGCACGAAACATATGCTTTCTTTCTTTAATTCTTGAATCGTAACAAACAATACCAAACAATACCTTTGAGTTGAAAATGTCATAAACTTAGTCGGAAAAAGGCGTTCGGGGGTGATGTTGAAAGGCAAGTTGTTGTAACTACTTAATGTCTATTTTATATATTTTGGTAGTACAACTGTGCAAATTTCTCTTAAACTAGCAACATTTATGTGCGCCTATGCCTGTTTCTGATTATATTTCTAAGAAGATGTAGTGATGTTGAATGAACTTATGTAGGGGTTGTTTTGTTGAAAGAAGCCCTCATCTAATTAAGTGAGTAGGTTTCCACACACCCAGTCACAAAGTGATGGGTCCCCTCAAACTAGTCAGCTGCATAGTGATGTTGGATTCTGCCACCAGACATTTGTAAACATGTGGCTTCAAGATATTGCTACTATCTTTGTCTTCGTCATGTGTGTGTAACATATTATAGAACTTTTCAAAGTTCTGTGGATCTGCATAACTGTGCAAAGTGTATGGATAAAAACCTTCACAGTTTTCCACTAGAGAAATCTTACTGGCCTCGTATTTTACATGCATCTTGAAACTTGATCAAATATTAGTCAGTAGCTCTCCATAAGCTTATGATTTTCTATGGGATGCATTTTTAATGCTACTTGGTGCATGATTTATGGAATGCCAATAGCGAGTAGCACATATGGGTTTCTGGTCTGTGTTTTTTGAACTGATGTTTCAGTTAGTTTGGGTTCTTGAAGGACTAATAAGTATATATTAATCTATGTTGTATGCACTCAGATTGAACATCAAATAGAACAATTAGATTCATGTGTTTGAATTTCTGCTTATTATTAGGATTACTTGTATATAATTCTTAACAGATCTTTCTTATATAACTTATTTTTAAGCTGAGATGGTTCCACTTGAAGGGAGCTTAAGTACTGAGTGAGTTCAATTATGATGCTAGTGAACTGGAAATTTGATTTGTGCTATCCAATGGATACTTAAAGGTAGTTGTCTGCTTTTGTGTCCATTTTGTTTATGATAAGCTATAGCAACCAAGAATCGTTGATCTTGCATTGTCCTACTACATAGTTCCATAAAGTATCTGATTTGGGTGATGCCACCTAGGCCTCACCTAGCCGTGACATGTTTGGTGGCTCTTCAAGTCCGGGTGTTGGTATGATGAATGATGGTCATATGGATATCTCCAATCCCATTCTTTAGTTATCCTCACCTAGTTATTTATTTATTTATTCCCAATCCCATTCTTTAGTTATTTATTTTATTAGATGCAACACACATTTCATTAGGGGTTTAGAATTACTAAGCCCCAACTTATCTATGCTCTTCAAGTTGTATGTATTTTTATTTTTATTTTTATAATTGTAAATGCAATGTTATTCAATAAAATATTAATGGATATTATGTTTTTGTTACAGATTGATGATGTTGGCATGGATACAGTGATGTTTTTGGGCCAGATTAATAATGTTTGCTTGGGCGCAATTTACATTTTATTTTTGTTTATAGAAAACATGTACACCTGATATGTTTTGTGATTAAGAATTTTTTTAATTTGGATTTTAATTGTTGGTTTGTATAGTATATGTATTTGTTGGATTATAATATGTTTATGGATTCTTATTTTCTTTGATATGTACGTTAATATTTAAGTTTTGTATATGGTTAAAAATTGAATGTTACAAGTTGTGGAGAAATAATTTTATTGAATGGTTGAGAATTGAATGAATGAATGAATGATTTTGTATATGCACAGGTTACAAGTGGCGCAAAAAATATTACAGAACAAATTATAAAAACTAGATGAGACCTTTTGGTGACTAAACAAATATCACATGTTGACTTTTGGCTACTAAAATTTTAGTTGCCAATTGTTAAAAAGTGAAGTTTTTGGCTATTAAATTTCTAGTCTCCAATTGTCAAAATGAAACTTTTGGCTACTAAATTTTTAATCGTCAATTCTCAAAAAATAAAACTTTTGGCTACCAAACAGTTAGTCGCCAAACATACATGCTCAAATTGGCTACTAAATAATTTAGTCACTAAAAGTAAAAAATATACATATTTAAGTATTTTTAAAAAATATATGGCGACTAAAGTTTTAGTTGCCAATAGGTCATTTTTGGCTACCAAAAAAATTTTAGTCGCCGATTGTTTCCTTGACAAACTGTTGGCGACCAAACATCTTAGTTGCCAAAAGTAATTGGCGACTAAAAACAAGGCTTTTGGCGACTAAAATTTTAGTCGCCAAAAGTGAAATTTCTTGTAGTGATTAGGGGTGTTGTGTTGTGTCATTGTAGAATTTTTAAAAGTTGAAGAAATTTTTTTATAGGGCTGCTACAACACATGCTACAATGTATGGTACCAAATGGGGTTGCCATTGTGTAGTTTTATGCAGCCAGGTTTCCACACCAAATAAATTCACTTCATTGTTACAGATGGTTATATGAAGCAATTGAAGTCGAGAATGCCTTTTACCTGCCTAATATTGAATTTTTGTTTTCTGATTAATTCTTTTTGTAGTGCTCTGTGTAACTGATTTGGGATTGATATTTTGAATAGGTGAAGATGCAATTCTTATTGAAGGTGAGGTTTCATCACAAGAGGTGAGAGGCTGCTGATGAATAGATGTCTATAACTGATGACTATGTAAAAAGTGCTACTGGATCTTTTTGGGTGGGGAGCTCTACTTTGCCTGTTGATTGATTAAATGAGGCGCAGGGCCAACCAAAACTTCTACGTGATTTCGTGTTCCATGACTAATCTTCTCAACTAGGTTTGATCTCATTTTGGGATTTGTTAAATATTTATTTTCTGTAATGTGAATGGTTTCTATCCAATGGTTTCCTAATAATGATGTGGTTAAATTTGGGTACTAAGTTTTGGATACTATCCAATGTTTCATCAATGTATTGGTTTGATGTGTCTCTCACCTTTCATGTGTTTTGCATTGGTGAAAAACCAAACAAGCTTACAGGTTCGAGGAACAAAGCAAAAAACACAATATGAAACCAACAGTTAAATTTGGTAGAGGTTTTCAAGTCATGACCAAAAAATGCATCAATTTTTTACATTTGATCTAATCGTTGTGTTGATGTGGAAGCCATTTCAGGTGATCACTGCTTGTAAATTGCTTGAGCTTTTGATAGCGTACGCTGGAAATATGAAGGTATGGGGATGCTAAGCTTGTGATGTTGGAGATTAATGTTGTTGGCAGCTTGCATGTATGCCATGTGCATATGTGATGCATGCTGTTGGCAAAATAATCCAACCAAATATTTATTACCTCATATATATATATATATATATATTTGTGTGGTGATGGGGAAGATTGTAAGATTATATAACATGGGAGTAGCCTTTTTTGTTGCAAACTGCCATTTTCCTGTGTTAAGCTGACGATCACCCCCCTCATGCTCTTGTGCTTTCCCTTTTCCTTCGTGTGATGTATGCTGCATGCCTTTTTAATCTCTCTCTCTCTCTCTCAGCCAATTAATTGTATTAACATTGCAATGGTATGTATTTGAAATTTTGACTTATATTTGAAATTTAAAATGTGTGCATTGAATTCATCTTAGTATTCTTCAGTGTGACTGACACCACAAGTTTAAGTTACACCATAAATTGAAATTTCTAATTTTGTTTTGGGATGAAAATTCCAAGTAAATGGTATTACTCTAATCCTATGCTTGGCTCTTAGATTGAAATTGAAATGAAATAGAATGTTTATTCTTTAATCTTCCGGCGGAATGATTATTCATTTACAATAATAATTGATAATTCTATTTGTAATGTAATTTTTAATTATTTTTTAAGTGAATCAAAGGTAAGAATATAGATATTCCAATGGAATAATATAATGAACCAAATATTATCTAATTGTATTATTGAAGATTGTATGAAGATTAAGAGGTTAGTTTATAGATAAGATGTTTTCTTATCAAGCATAACATTAAAATTCGAGTATTGAGTCTTTGTGATGCGTTACATACTTTTCTCTCCCTCATCTCCGAGGGTGCAAAAAGGCTATTTGTTGAGTTGGAATAGGATTTTTGCTAAGTGGGAACATGGACTAGTTCTCAAAGCATTTTCATAGCTACTTTCAGTTAATATGTTTTTTTGTCTTATATAATAAATGAAGCATATTACACGAGGGGAGGGGAGGGGAGGGGAGGGGTGTGTGTGTCACAAGTTCAATAACTCTCTCATTAACGAAGCATTGGCGTTACATTTTCAGCAGCAAAAAGAACTGATTTCATGACCCCATTTGATGACTCAATTACTCAATTTCCAATCTCCCTAACTTCTAGTAATAAATAAAAACAATGCACAAAGTGTTTCTTCAAAGTCAAAGTGTCATTAAAAACTATCAATGGTCATCATATTTATCATCATATTTAGTAAGGGAATTTGCTATCTCCTTATTGATCAGGGTTCGAATTTTCTATTATTCAAGTGAAAGTACGACGGTTTAGATAGATCGACTAAGTTCTCCCAGTTTAACTTGTAAGGGTGGGTGGATCCTAAGGGTCCTGCCTTGAAGCTTCTCCCAATTTGACTTGTAAGGGTGAATATTAAGGGTCCTGTCTTTAGGGTGTTCTGGGCCAAAAAAAAAGAGAGCAAATTACACTAACAGTCCCTATAGTTTGAGACTTGTGTTACTTTGGTCCTTGACTTTTCAATTGTGACGCATTTGATCTTAAATTTTGAATCTTGTTTCAAATAAGGACAATTGAAGATACTATTGCTCAATTTCAAGGGTAAAGTAGTCAATTTGATAAAATATAAATTAATTTGGCAAAAATAAATGCCAAAAAAATATTTTTGAAGTTTTAAAAGGGAAAATTATTTATAAGTCCTATTAGAGAGACTTATGTTACATATAATCCTACTAAAAAATTTATGTTCCCATAAGTTCTGTGTGAAGTTTGTTGACACATTTACCCTCAATATTAGTTGTTAATATCATAAATAATAATAAAACCATATATAGGAAATTGAATGTTACCATAGATCATATCTATATAAACGTAATGTAACGTGACACCTACATAAACGTAACGTGACACCTATACGTAACGTGACACCTACATAAACGTAACATGACACCTATGATCTATGGTAAGATTCAATTTCCTATAGATCATATCTACATAAACGAAACGTAACGTAACGTGACACCTACATAAACGTAACATGACACCTATGATCTATGGCAACATTAGGAAATTGAATGTTGCCATAGATCATATTTATATGAAACGTAATGTGACACCGACATAAACCAGCAACATTTTCACATTCAATTTAAAAAAATAAAAACTCTTTAAGTTTGCGAAACGTAACGTGACACGTTACGTTACGTTTATGTAGGTGTCATGTTACGTTTATATAGGTGCCACGTTACGTTACGTTTATGTAGGTGTCCCGGTTACGTTACGTTTATGTAAGTGTCACGTCACGTTACGTTTATGTAGGATTTTGTGGAATATATTCATATCTAAATAGGACTTGAGACTCTATAAGAAATTACACAGGACTTAACCTACCATAAGTATCTGAAAAAGGACTTATAAATAAGTTTCCATTTTTAAAAATAATTTCTACCCACTAAAGATAAAATTATGTAAAATTGATAAATCTTTTAGATATTTATTTATTTATTTATACCAAATTAATTTTTATTATGTGTTTGGATGATGATCATGTAATGGGTGGTTATTAGGTTTTTAATGTGTAATCGATATATTTACTACATGAAATGTTTTTAGTTTTGAATTTTTTGATTTATTGGATTGGTTTAATAATGATATTAAAATTGTTGCCATATTCGACTTTTGAAAAAATAGAAACTAATTTAATGAAAATAAAAATAATCACTCATTACATGATCATCATCCAAATATATAATAAAAATTAATTTGGTAAAAATAAATAAATAAATAAATGTCTAAAAGACTTATCAATTTTATATAATTTTATCTTTAGTGGGTAGAAATAATTTTTAAAAATTTTAAAATAATTTTTTGATATTTATTTTTGTCAAATTAGTTTATATTTGATCAAATTGATGAATTTGCCCTTAAAATTGAGTAATAATATCTTCAATTATCCTTATTTGAAATAAGATTCAAAATTCAAGGTCAAATATATCACAATTAAAAAATTAAGAATCAAAATGACACAATACTTAAATTATAGGACTGACACAAGATCTAAACTATAGAGACCGTTAGTGTAATTTTTCCAAAAAAAAAAAAAACAAAAAAAAAAAGAAGATTGAGAAACGGGTGAGACTTGAATTTAGAACCTTAACTCTATTATGGAACATGTGGCTATTTTTAAGGATTCTGCCTATTTTTAAAGATATGGCTTTTTAATGAACAAAATA